CTCACCAAGATGGCCGGCCACCAAGCTCCCAGGCCCCGCATGCAGGGCTTGGAACAGGCCTCAGCATTGCCCCTGGAATCCGGCTCCTCCTCCAGGAGGAGGAGCATCCTGGGCTTTCTTTTGACCCCTGCCCCTTTGGTTGTCACATGATTTGGATAGCTGGCAGGCACAGGGTAAGCCACTGACATCTTATGCTAGTTTGGGAAATAAACTTTTTTTTCCCCCCAAATAGGCATTTTACTAACCTTACAAAGGTAGTTTTCTAAAAATAAAAAGTTGTTCTATGGTTGTAAAACTTGAAATTTATGGAGGTAAACTGGAATTGGAATCGTGTTTTCTTAGCCTAATATTTAGTGAGAAAATATGGAGGAAGACTGTCACCAAAGTGCTAATTATGTGTCCAGAGCTTGCTCCAGGAGGCGCACAGCCAGAGACCAAATGCCCAGGGCGGCCCCCGCCATACTCAGGGCAGGGCAGCTGAGCGGCAGGACCGGAGTGGCAGAGTCAGCCCCAGGAGTGAGCAGAGCTGCCTCCCGGTGCTAAGGGCTCAAAATCTGCTTTTAGGGTCGCGACTCCTGTTTTTCTTTATACAACTCTTTGCTCTTTGTATCTCTGTGTCTAATAGGCATGTCCCAGGTTTACGCAGTGGCAATGACGATACCATAGACAGTTTGTCACCACATCTCGCTGACTTCATCCGCCCAGTGGGATGTGGACTGTGCTCATGAGATGGGTCTCCTGCTGACATTCTAGCAAGATGCTGATCTGGGGCTGGAAGAGCTGCTTGGAGCCTCTGGCCGCTGGTCCAAAGCTTGCTTTAAGTCCTCCTGTGGCCGTCAGGGGTGCTGGGTTTGTTGTCTCTGCTCAGCAAAGAACTGAAGAGCAGGACACAGAGCAAAGGTGACAGAGACACAGAGACTTCTCCGCAGAGAGGGCCCCAGGGCTGGGAATCCAGGGGAGCTTTGGTCTATTTATGGTCTCTGGAATTCCCTCCTTTCCTGTCTCCTCCCCCGTCCATGTGCTCCTCGCTGTTACTGATTGGTGTCCCCTCTGTCCACTTGGCTGTTTTGGTTTCTGCTGGATCCCCCACACAGAGCACGGGTACAGAAGGGTCCCCGCTTGTGTCCACAAGTGCTTTCACCAAGCAGGAAGTTGACCTCACCAGGGGACCCTCTGCATGCCCCTCCTTCCTGAATCCACCCACCCTCCCTCACCATCTTTCCCTGGCTGCCTACGCCCTTCCCCGCCTCCCCGTCCCCCCCTGATGTCTGTACCATGTGCTCTCCATTCACATCCTAATTCTCCAGCCGCGAGACCTCACTGGAGAGTCTGACTTTTTATTCACTCTCAGTACACAGAGCCCTCTTCTACCAGAGAGAAAGTCGCTCTTTGATTCCACCATCAATTCCAAGTAGCATCTCAACTTCTCTTTCTCTGCTGTGGTGTGTTTGGCAGATGGGAGATCCTTACTGGTCAGCTTCTCCTGGACGTGTCCAGAGGCTCCTTCTGACATCTGGTGTGCTGAAAGGGCCTTGCAGGTGAGGGCTGGTTCTGTGGGAAGAGCTAGGCTGGAGCAGCTCCCCATACTCAGCCCAGTTGTTCCTGAGAGTGGCCGAGTAGTCCCTGCAGAAGACAGGCGGGCTGGGCTGGTGAGGGGACCGCGGCGTGAGCTGCTTCTGCCTGGCCTGGGTTCCGGGTTGTACTGATGGGTGTAAAGATCCCGGCCTTCTCTGCGGCTCCTCCCAGAAGAAAGCAAGGTTGCATTCTCTAGTTATCTCGATTCCCCACCAGAACCAGGTCGTCAGACAGAATCCCACAGGGCGGCCGTCTTCATGGCTCAAGGTGCCTACAGGACTTCAGGGCTTCTTCTGACTCTGCTGCAATATCTTTGATACTTTATAAGATGCTCAGAAGGCTTTAAGAGGCTGTTGACTTAATGAGTCCTATTTTGCTCATGGGGATCCTGCAAAGATGACATAAAATCCTCAGAAGGGTCATTTCAAGAATTTTCCAGAACCACTTCCATAGATACAGTATGTCCTTGGATGGAGCACAGAAAGTATTTTGTGGCCAGATAATCACACTGTAAATTCTGTGCACTCATAAAAATTCTGACCAAGTGCCAAGCAAACACTACAGTGAGCCATGAGTGTCCAGAGACGTCTGCTGGAAGAGAAGTTGCACCCTCATCACCTGGTGCGCCATTCCACTTAGTTATGTACTGACAGCACAGAGGACTTCCTTCCACAGGGAGGACTTCCTTCCACAGAGGACTTCCTATCACAGAGAGGACTTCCTTCCACAGAGGACTTCCTTCCACAGAGAGGACTTCCTTCCACAGAGGACTTCCTATCACAGAGAGGACTTCCTTCCACAGGGAGGACTTCCTTCCACAGAGGACTTCCTATCACAGAGAGGACTTCCTATCACAGAGAGGACTTCCTTCCACAGGGAGGACTTCCTTCCATGTAGAGGACTTCCTTCCACAGAGAGGACTACCTTCCACAGAGAGGACTTTCTTCCACATGGAGGACTTAGAGAAGATAATTCCACAGGGAGGATTTCCTTCCACAGAGAGGACTTTCTTCCACATGGAGGACTTAGAGGAGATAATTCCACAGGGAGGACTACCTTCTACAGGGAGGACTTAATTCCACAGAAGGACTTCCTTCCACAGGGAGGACTTCCTTCCAGGGAGAGGACTTCCACAGAGCAGTGATCTGTTGCCTGCAAAAACATAGAGTTCAACCCATCTTCCTTAGTTTCTTCACGTGGTCTTAAAGTAACTTTTATAGCAATTTGGAAAAAGACAGTTCTGTGGAATTGTCTTTTTTATTTCTTGCCTGTTTCCCAGTCACCGTTGGGCAGTGCCTCTTCAAGACAGCCACGTAACTCGTGGTAGATTTCTCTGTTTATGTGTCTGTGCATTTGCTGAGCTGTAGTCACACTCAAATGTGCAGAAACAGGAAACTTACATTTTTTTCCTTCTTTTCTTGTTACAAACCAGTTTTAAGCACCAACTTTGAGATTTGAGCGATCCCTTTTCTCTGAGGCCACCCTTCAGCAGTCGGTCTGGAGAGACCCCGGTGTGGTTCCGTCTTCCTCAGCCACGCCTGCCAGTGGAGGCCACTGCAAGGGAATCACTGTCGCACTTTCTGAAGAGAAGCCTAAGGGGAAATACGAAGACTTTCTTGTTCTCTTCCAGTGAATACACACAAATCATATGTTTTGAAAATCTAATGACGACATTTGGGGATACAGGTAGTAGATGGTAATCATAAAATCATCCATGTGGTCACGCCATTGTAAGGGGAACCACTGGTGAAGGCAGAGTCTGGGTCTGCTCTACCTTTGGACACCCTAACTATGATTTGCATCTCAGAACAAGTTGCGTGCCTTGTCTACACAGGTATTATGTTAGCATTAGAAAAATAAAAAACATGACAGTGTGTTGAGAGCCACAGCCAGTCGGAATGGCCCCTGGCATTTTGCCAGAAGTAATGGTTGTGAGGGGAGCCATTAAGACGAGGCTGGATTGAAACAGGCTGTGTATTCGATTGTACGTAGACCCCTGCTGTCCGCCTCCGGTGCCTGCTAGTTTGGAGTTCTCGTGGGGATTCCTAGGGAGTTCCCGTTGGTTGGTGAAGTTCCGGTGGAGGGAGTTCCGGTTGGTGTGTGGTGTCCCTGAAGGGCCGCGTGGGTGGCGTTCGGGGGAGTTCGGAAATGAAGTTTGTTCCTGCTTGAGTGGCTCGTGATTTGTGCCCAGCCAGACTGCGGCAACAGTGAACATTGGTGGAACATGATCCATATGCCACAGCTTGCCTCCGTGGTCTCCCTGAGCCTCAGGACAGTCCCCTGTGTCCCGTGTGACAGTCACCTGTGTCGGGGTGTCCATGTGGTGCACTGCATCTGCTGCCTCTGACTGGGCGGGGCTGGAGCGAGGGCCCTGCAGCAGCTTCCTGTGTGACCACGCTCACACTGGTACAACCTGGGACTGGAGTCGGCGGCGCCTCTTCCTGTGGGTGTAAAGCACAGGCTATGGAAGACCCTTCCCGTTTGGGAGAGAGATGCTGGCCGCCCTCGGCCACTGCACCTTGCCAGTGTGTCTTTCAGCCTGAGTGGAGACTTCTGGCTATTCTGTGGTGATCCTGCTGTGGCCACAATCAGTCAGGGTGGGCCTTGGTCCCTAGATGCCCGCTGGCTGGAGCTCAGGTGTGGGCCAGTCAGGAGCACACATGTGTGTGGTGGCAAACACAGGGATGCAGGTCAGACGAGTTAAACCCAGGAGGAGCTGGCTGCGCTGGAGGTGGGCTGAGCCTTTGCACACTGAACGCAGGCCTCGGGGACTTTACCTGTCCTTGTTTAACGCCTGTGTGAGTTTTAGAACTCTCGTGGCTCATGCCGGGCACACAGGACTAAGTACAGGTTCCCGACACCACTGCTGTCTACTGACCACCGGTGACATGGCTATTTAAGGAGCACCACAGTTGAGCTGCATTATTCAGGGGTGACCACATTGTGAACATTGAGAACCTGTCCTCCTGAGGCTGGATCTCAAGGGGGCTCTGGGGGAAAAGTGGATAATTTCTGATACCTCAGGGAGCTCTGAACCCTGAAGAATGGCATGCTGGGAATATGGGCAGTCCCCTAGGGTGGACCCCACCCCGAGCTGCGGACGCTTGGCAGCCTCCAGGCTGTGGCTGAGGCCTGGAGAGATCCGGGTCCCTCCTCAGTCCTGGCCTCCCATGCACCAGGGAGGACGTGGCATTGTTCACTCAGGACATGTGTCAAGGCAGCGGTGCTGCCTGGGAGCTTCCCTGTCCACTGCTTCAGATCAGGGGCCACACCCTCTGCTGCTCAGCCTCCTCTGGGTCCCCTGGCATGTCCACAGCCCTCTCTGAGCCTCGCTTCCTGCCCTTCCAGCTGTGCCTGGGGGCCAGCTCTGGTCTGGCCGGCTCCTCAGCCCTGCTCACCATCTCTCCCTTGCTTCTCCTCCGCAGTGTCCTCCTGTGACCAGGAGCACCAGTCCGCCCTGGAGGAAGCCAGGCAGCCCAAGAATGACAACGTGGTGATCCCTGAGTGTGCCCACGGGGGCCTCTACAAGCCAGTTCAGTGCCACCCCTCCACGGGGTACTGCTGGTGTGTGCTGGTGGACACAGGGCGCCCCATTCCTGGCACATCCACCAGGTAAAGCACAGTCCTGGGCCATGGGCGGTAGGTAAGGCGCTGGGTATGGAAACCAGGAGGGCAGGGCCACCTCGGCACATGCCATGGGCATGGCACCTGTTAGACCTGGGCCTCACACCCTGAGGGTCCATCTGTCCTCTGCTTGGGCTTTGGTTAGGAATGTGTGGTGTCTGCCATCAGACAGTGGGGGAGAGTGTGTGTCCTGAGCTCAACCGAGGCCCAGCAGGGCAGCCCTAAAAGCTCATGTCGCATCAGTGTGGCTGGTGCCAGCTTGTGCCTCGGCCAGCACGCGGGCCACAGCCCAGAGCAAGTGCCACTCCCGCTCACCCCTTGTGCCGGCAGAGGAGGCCAGACGTGTAGGGTGCCAAGGGGACCGGCGCCCAGGGGGCCTGCTGGGGTGTAAGGATTCTCGAATCCCAAGTCCTCGCTTTACAGAAAGTGGGAATATGGGAAAGCAGGAGCGATAACAGGAGCCCAGGATCTGATGCAAGACAATAGCTCCTCACTCCTGGTCCGGGTGCAAAGCGCCTCCGGCCCCTGAAGGCAGGGCTGCCGGCCAGGGGCTAGCACTGTCCTCTAGCAGCTCTGTCCTGACCGTGCCTTCGACTCTCCCTAGATTTATATCAAAATGGTTGACATGATGCACAGGCGTCAGCCTTCCGACACTCCCTAGATCATTCCCCACTTTCTCCAGTGTGAACCCAGGGGAAGGAGAGGGGCTAGCTGGCAGGACCCAGGAGATGGAGGCGCAGGTGACCAGCCAACGCCCACTCTGTTAAGGTTGAGCCCAACCTGGCCACCCTCTGGCCAGGAGTGGTACCATCTTCCGGGATCCCTGCTTGGAAATTGCAGTAACATCATGACATCAGAGCTGACCAGGGGGTCGTCATGCCCTGCCCAGCTGCATGGGACAGACAGCGTGTTCTGATCAGTGCCCATGGAGCCAGCCAGCTCAGAGCAGATCCCAGCAGGGCCCCAGGGCAGCAATGGGTCGTTAGGAGCGAGTGGGCTCTGCCCGGCTTGGAGACAGCATCCCCCTGTCCAGGGCTTTGGTGTGAGACCACTTCTGTCCCTGTGCATCGGCACCCAGAGAGCAGTTTTCTGGGAGACCCGGAACAAGTGCTGCATGCTGGGAGCTCTGGCCTGCTCCCCCACTGGGCTGTGCCAGCCGCAGCCCTGGCCCGACCTGCGGCTCTGCAACAGGGAGAAGTGTCCCTGGCAGGCGTTTTCTTAGTGCCGGCCAAGGAAAACCTTGATGCCATCAAAACCAGAGCTGCTCCAACTGGCTCTGGAATCAACAGTGCTCTCCCTAAGGACCCGCGAAGGCTGCTGTGTCCCCATCTGCTCTCCTGACACACCCTCCCCCGGCCACCCTCATCTCTTCCGCCCCCTTCATCCAGCTCAGGACTGATTCGGATTCTGATTCTCCCAGGCACCTGAGGGCGGGGCAACCCCCTCTTCTTCCCCTTTCAGGAGAGGACATCACTTGGGCCAATGAGGGGCTGCTCAGGGGCTGGCTGCAGTCCTGTCCTAACCCTGTCTCCTCCCGCACACAGGGCACCCAGGGTCAGTCCCGGAGGCTCTGGGGGAGGATAGTGCACCATCCTGTGTCCCCTGGGGAGGGGCGGCTGACCTGTCCTGCATCCCACCTCTTCTCACGAGTTGCCCCCCCGCTCTGAGCAATGGGGTCTCCCGGCGGCTCTGGCAGTCGATGACACTTGTCTGTGTGCGTGTTCTCCTCTCCACTCTGCGGCTCTCGTCCCTGGCTCAGTCCCTGTCCTGCCTGGGCCTTCGAAAGCCTCCTGTGCAGCCAGGACAGCGGGTTCTGGGGAAGCTTTGCAGGAGGAAAGCCTCCCCACCTGCCTGGTGGGGACAGGGCTTCACCCCAGGGTGGCCCGTCACCGCAGTGCCAGGAGGAGGGGTCCCTGCAGGGGTGGCCTGTCACAGGGTGGTCAGGAAGGAGGGGTCCCCTGCAGGGGTGGCCTGTCACAGGGTGGTCAGGAAGGAGGGGTCCTCTGCAGAGGTGGCCTGTCACAGGGTGGTCAGGAAGGAGGGGTCCTCTGCAGAGGTGGCCTGTCACAGGGTGGTCAGGAAGGAGGGGTCCCCTGCAGGGGTGGCCTGTCACAGGGTGGTCAGGAAGGAGGGTTCCACTGCAGGGGTGGCCTGTCACAGGGTGGTCAGGAAGGAGGGGTCCTCTGCAGAGGTGGCCTGTCACAGGGTGGTCAGGAAGGAGGGGTCCCTGCAGGGGTGGCCTGTCACAGGGTGGTCAGGAAGGAGGGGTCCTCTGCAGAGGTGGCCTGTCACAGGGTGGTCAGGAAGGAGGGGTCCCTGCAGGGGTGGCCTGTCACAGGGTGGTCAGGAAGGAGGGGTCCCTGCAGGGGTGGCCTGTCACAGGGTGGTCAGGAAGGAGGGGTCCTCTGCAGGGGTGGCCTGTCACAGGGTGGTCAGGAAGGAGGGGTCCTCTGCAGAGGTGGCCTGTCACAGGGTGGTCAGGAAGGAGGGGTCCTCTGCAGAGGTGGCCTGTCACAGGGTGGTCAGGAAGGAGGGGTCCTCTGCAGAGGTGGCCTGTCACAGGGTGGTCAGGAAGGAGGGGTCCTCTGCAGGGGTGGCCTGTCACAGGGTTGTCAGGAAGGAGGGGTCCTCTGCAGGGGTGGCCTGTCACAGGGTGGTCAGGAAGGAGGGGTCCCCTGCAGGGGTGGCCTGTCACAGGGTGGTCAGGAAGGAGGGGTCCTCTGCAGAGGTGGCCTGTCACAGGGTGGTCAGGAAGGAGGGGTCCCTGCAGGGGTGGCCTGTCACAGGGTGGTCAGGAAGGAGGGGTCCTCTGCAGGGGTGGCCTGTCACAGGGTGGTCAGGAAGGAGGGGTCCTCTGCAGAGGTGGCCTGTCACAGGGTGGTCAGGAAGGAGGGGTCCTCTGCAGAGGTGGCCTGTCACAGGGTGGTCAGGAAGGAGGGGTCCCTGCAGGGGTGGCCTGTCACAGGGTGGTCAGGAAGGAGGGTTCCACTGCAGGGGTGGCCTGTCACAGGGTGACTAGGAAGGAGGGGTCTACTGCAGGGGTGGCCTGTCACAGGGTGGTCAGGAAGGAGGGGTCCTCTGCAGAGGTGGCCTGTCACAGGGTGGTCAGGAAGGAGGGGTCCTCTGCAGGGGTGGCCTGTCACAGGGTGACTAGGAAGGAGGAGTCCCCTGCAGGGGTGGCCTGTCACAAGGTGGTCAGGAAGGAGAGTTCCCTGCAGTCCCCAGATCATGCAGGGCCTGTGGTTCCTGAGAAACAGGAAGGAGAGGGCCACCCTCACTGCTGTCCCAGTGAGGAGGCACAGACAGACGGGAGCAAGCAGGGGTGGCCTCAGGGGTAGGACAGGAGCTGGTGGCCAGACTGGGTTTCCAGGTGGGGGCACAGGCATGAGGCTGTTGAGGGTCAGCTGGGGACAGGGGAAGTGCACGTGGGAAAGTCGCGCCTTGGGAGCAGGGTGTGGGCGAGCCTCAGCCCGGTGGGAAGCCACTGGGGGTTCAGTGGAGAGGGACAGCTCTGCCAATTCTGGAACCCTCCTGCGCCAGCGCCTCTGTTTTCCTTCAGTGAGCCTTGGAATGCCCTGAATGGTCCCAGCAGTGTCCTCGGAGCCGGGGATGCCCGTCCACCAGAAAGGCTGCCACCCTGCCCGTGAAGCTCCCCCCTAGCGAGGGAGCAGATGACACCAGAGGAGCCCGATGGGTCAGTGTTCTGGGTGGAGACAAATTCCCTGTAGGAAATGAACACAACTGGGCAGAGTGGTGGGTGCAGCCCACAAGGCCAGGGAAACCCCTGAGAGGCAGATGGCGGTCAGGGCCTCAGGTACCAGGGAGCAAGGGCTGGCCAGCCCAGCAGGGGTGAATGCTGCCCACACAGCAAGGTTCAGGTGAGCTTGACCGGGGCTGGCCATGTCACCAGGCGGCATGGAGGTACAGCAAGCTCAGTTTCAGTTGATCCCATGGCCTGGTGGTGTTGCCCGGGAGAATCTCAAATCTGCTCCAACAGCCCCCGTGTGTTAGCTTTGCCCTGGACAGGTTCCCCTCTTAGGTACAAGCAGCTGCAGAAGATCCAGGCATCCCACCCACGTGCCATAGTTCTCAGGGAGCCCCCTCTCTCTCTTTTGCTGGGGGGAAAAGTTTGTAAGAAGTCCCAGGTAGATTTAGTGCGTGGATAACTGCCCAGCAGTGGATCACCGGTGCTCAGCAGTCCGTCAAAAAACCAGGTCAGCAGCATCAGGGGAGAGAATAGCCTCACGGGTCTTTTCTGCTGCTGTGCCAGGGCTGGGCAGCCAGGGCACAGGGACAGCCACCCGCATGGCTGTTCACATCCTCTCCGTTGCCTGAGCACGGATCCTCACCGATGTCCCGAAGCTTGGGAGGTGTTCAGGAGGTGCTCTGCAGGTGGGAGGTGCATTGAGTGGAGCACTCAAGAGCTGGTTCCCTCAGTGATCCTGTGTCTTCTGATGGAAGAAAACGTGGAACTCTGCCAGTGGAACAGCTGTCAGTATCAAATGCCTCATCACTTGCCTATGTCCTCAAGCTAAAGAATCAAGGGCCTTTGTCACAGACTGGAGTGGAGTCCAGTGAGCATATGTCCTGCCCACTGAGGGACCAGCTCCTTCCTGGTTCTCCTGCCTCGGTGTCAAGATCAACCCCTTGGCCATAGTTTGCAGGTCCCTGAAGTTTGGGCCCAGGCCCCTGTGCAAGCCCAGGCCACCAGGCTGGTGGGATCCAGGCTGGGAGGAGAGGGACAGGTGTCTACTTGGCAGAGAGTAGGAATGAGTACTGGATCAGTAGGGGGCAGGTGAGACCCAGCTGCTACCCTGGAGCCAGAACAGACCCTTGTCCCTTGTCCTGAAAGGGCGCCTCTGTTCCTGAGTCTAGAGCTCTGTCCCGGTGGCCACAAAGGCATGAAACCACTTCTCCATGGCAGTCGGCCTGAGGTCTGACGGGCAGCCAGAGAGCAGAGAGATGTGTTTATTCTTTATGCAAATAAGTTGAACAGACACTGCTGAGAAGAGTGGAGACACGTGGAAGCCGTTCAGCTGTGCCCTGGGCATCGTCCTGAGAGCACCATTCCTGCAGACGACGGCATTCTGCTGGACTCGGGAAGGAGCAGATGCTCCCCTCACTACCTTCTTAAATTCAGCCTTAGTGCTGGGATCCTTAAGAGACTCTGTCCCCCATTTGGAGCAAGACCCTAGTGACGTCTGGTGTGGCTAGCTTCCTCGTGGCTTCAAAGTTAGTAGATGACAAAAGGGAACTAGAATGATCTCATCATCCTAAGTGAGGAGGGTTGGGTCCTGGAGGGGTTTGGATGCACTGCAGGGATTTGAAACGAACGGGGCAGCTTTCTAACTCTGCAGAATGGCTACCCGAGTGTGCCTCGGACTCTCAGTCAAGGCTCAGTCGGGGGGAAGGCCTCGCTGCAGGCCTACCCAGTCGGAGGGCACTGGCAGTGCCCGTCCTCTGCAGCTCAGACCTCATGTGCTGGGAAGGGGCCTGGTCTAACGTAGCTGTCAGTTCTAGACTGTTCCAGCTGCCCAGATGCTGGCCCAGGGCTGGGACTGAAGATTGGGCTTGCCAGTGTTCTCCACACTTAGCCCGAGGAGCTCCACGGCCCTTGGGCAGCAGGGTGTTCGTCCAGCCAGCTGGGTGTGCCCTGGTTGTCTTATTTTTGAGGGGCTGGACTCGAACCCAGGGCCTTACACATTCCAGCAAGTGCTTTCCACTGAGCTACACCCAGGCCTGCTGGGTGCATTTTACCTCCCCTCTGCTGGCCGCAGCCCCAAAGGCACCAGGAGAAGCCGGCGGGTGGGGCTGTCCCTGTGACCATGGAGTCTGCTGTCTGTCACTGAACCTCACGTTCCCAGGAAATCTCGGCTCATGGCTTTGGGTAAAGTGTGCTTTGTGCTGTCCAGAGTCTGTCAGGGACTTCATTCCCAACCATGTTTCAGGAAGACACACTGGTCTGTGAGCATGGGGTGTTGGGTTCTCTGTTCGGGGAGGAGAGGCAGAGGTGTGGGCCTGGCCCGATTCTTGGGACACCAGAGGAAGGGGACTGGAGAAATCCACTTGCTTTTATTCTCTAAGATTGGAAACAAGCGAGTAACGGAAAATGGGAACACACATGATCTCTATGAGGGAAACGCGGCCTGGCAGCCCCTTCTTAGCGCACGAGAGGGAGGGCACAGCAAGGGAGGGCCGGGAAGGAAGGGAGGATGCGGAGGCCGACCTTGCAGGGCCGCAGCCTGCAGGCCGAGGCCCAGGACACGCCTCCTGCCCCCTGCTCCTGGCTGCTCCCACGTGTCTGTCTGCCTGCTCTATGGGTCAGTCCTGACTGGCCTGCACTGATGTCCGGCACGGGAGCCCGAGTACCCAAGGAGAGGCCGTGGAGTGGAAGGACTGAAGAGTGGACCTGCGGATGGGGGGCAGGAGGCGCAGGCCAGGACAGGGCTGCACAAGCCCCACGACTCCTGTGAAGTCCCCTCCAGGGAGGAAAACCAGGGGACGTGTCCAGCAGAGCCAGTCATTCTGCTCAAGAGCTACCCCCGCCCCCAGAGGTTTCTCCCGCGAGTGGATGCCCCTCCCCTCGCGCTGGCCAGGTCCTTATCTGGGATCAGCCTGAGAAGCCTGAGTGCAGGGGGGCCATGGAGGGGGCAGCGGAGGCTGGGGCCACCTCTGTGCTCACAGCCTCTGCGCTGGCTTTCACTGCCCACTTTCTGCTGGGCTGAGCTGGCCTCATGGGGCACAGACCTCCACTCCATCTCCAACACCCAGGCAGCGCCCAGGCCAGGTGGACTTGGAGGGGCTGTGGGCCACACCATTGGCTTTTTCTAAGCTGGGCATCTGGGGGCTGACACCTTCAGGTGGCAGAGTCCCCGCCCACGCGTGCTCCGTGGTCTTTGACTGACTCCAGGTGGAGCCAGGTGGCTTTTCTTTATTTTTAACACTTTTAGCTTCATGAATTGGACTGAAAATGACTTTGAGTAATGTATCGGTGGAAAATCCTGAGTCTCGGAGACTGGGCCACCTCTTGGGAGGGATCCAGTGGCCAAGCCCACATCGTATACTGTGCTCACACTCCTGCTCCTCCTGTCCCCGTCCGGAGCCATGCCACAGGTCCGAAGTGCAGAGCACTTGCCCTTTGTGAAATCACGTAATAGCAGGAGGGGACAAGAGTGAGGCAGAGGCTGCTGGGGAGGAGCTGCAGGTGCCTCTTCCCGTCACTGGGGGACGTGTTCATGGTGTAGCCGAGGTAGTTACCCTACAGGCATGTGACGCGAGGACCGGATGCCGTGGTTCTGTCTGGGGGAGCCCACCTGTACCTCTCACACGCTGGAGAGGTGGAGAACCAGGGGTCAGGCCCTCCATCAGCTCTTCTCTCCCGCCCCCAGGTATGAGCAGCCCAAGTGTGACGACAGAGCCCGGGCACACCCCGCCAGGGCCCAGGACCTGTTCAAGGGCCGGCAGCTGCAGGGTGAGTACTGCCCACAGCCAGTGGGCATCGGCCACCACTGCAGGGTCTCTTGCTAGGGTGGTGGGAACAGAGTCTGCCCGCTTCTGGGGCTCAGCACCATGGTGGATTGGAGCCTCCCACTTCCTCCCAGAGGGCTGAGAGTTGGGGCTGATTCTCGGGCTGCTGTCACTGTGGCTGCAGTGACAGCACGTGATGGAGGAGGAAGGACCAGCATCACTCCAACATCAGTGTCAGCACTCTGAAACTCCTGGGTGCTCCTGAAATGCTTAGCCCAAAGCATGTTTCCCAGGCATTCCCTGAGCGCTGAACCTCAGCACAAAGTAGGGGTAGTTTTAACAAAGCATGAGCTCAGTCTGTTATCAGGTAAGTCTAATTGCAAAGGACCTTTTGAAACAAAATGAGGAAACGCATTCCCACAAGGTGCTTCTCAAGGTTCTCTGAGCTCAGAAGTGCACGGGTATCTGAAGAGCCAAGAAGGAAGGTGTCAGCAGTCATACCTGAGCCCTCAGGGGACAGTGTCCTTCCAGGAGTTGCAGGAGACAGGCACTTGCTGCCCAGGCTAGAGCAGCACCCAGGAGCCCACCCGGTCCCCCAGCTCCCTGCACCCGGGAGGCAGGCAGTGCTCTGACATCATGGGGCGAGTCCATGCCTTCAGTAAAATGTTTCAAAGCTGCTTGTTGCTCTGATTCATCTCAATCTTTATTTCTTCTTAAATATCTCCAGATTGTCTCAGAGACCATGAAAACTGCCCTGTTACCTCCCCCATGTGTGCTGTGTGTCTGATCTAGTCTTGGATGGTCTAGATACATTCCCCTTCAAGAGCATTCGTGGTTCTTGTAGGATTTGTACTGCCATTGATAAAGAAGGTTTTAACTTTGCAAAGTAAAGATGCTTCTCTGCTTACAAATAGGCAGGGAAGGCCAGAGTGCCCAAATCACGCTCACTCTGCGCTCACTGCTCCCAGGTCTGCTCGACAGCACCGAGGAGCAGCATGGCAGGACTGCCCCATCGAGAGTTCTCTAGGCTCAAGGTGCTCTGGACTGAGGTGTCCAGCTGTCCCCCACCTTGGGGGCCATCCAGGGTCCTGCTGTAGAGACAGGATTGAAGAGTCTGTTGGTGGCTTTATTTTTGCCACCCTATGTTCCTCTGGGGGAAGGTCAGCTGCTCTCGGTTTCCCTGGTGGCTTCCTTCTGCACTGGGTGTGAGGAGGGGGCAGATACCAGGTGCCTCCCTCCAGAAGGTCTCCTGTATCATTGGAGGTCCAAATTTGTGTCTGTGTGGAGCCAGGGTGCAGCCCGGGCCTTCTGCAGGCCAGGCCACTCCAGCATGACACCCCAGCCCCTGAAGTCAGGTGGTGATATGAGCAGGTGACAAATTTCTGAAAAAGAAATAACGAGTTTCACGCACGCTTGTTGCATGGAAGGCCCTCAGTGAGCGTCTGCCTGATTGGCTGGTCTCAACTCTATTCCAGGGCGCCCAAGGCATTTGTGAGCTTGTCTTCTGTCTTTGGGTAACGTGAAGCCACATGACTCCTGAACATGTGCCCTGTGGTTCCGCATGAGTGTGGCCCAGCAGTGTCCCAGGAGGTTTGCCCTCCTCTGGGACAGGACACTGCTGGTCCCCCAGGGTGCACTTGGTAGGAAGGTCGTTTTGTGGAAAAATCCCACCCTTTAAGCACTAGATGGGGACCTGATTTGAAGACTGAAATGATCCTTCATCTTGTGCCAACAACGGGCCATTGCTATGGAGAAACAAGAAGGGTACCCTGGAGGCATGTCTGATGTCAGATGAGCCCCGGGGGAGACAGCATTGGAGGAGATGGGGCACTATCCTGGGACAGCCACCGTTCCTCTGCCAGGTACAGGAGGAGGACTCTGGGGCTCCTCGGGAAGGCTGCCGCCTGGGACAGGGCCCTCAACTCTGCAGACGTCCCACGCAGCCCCAGGAAGGTCAGCCGAGCTGAGCTCCAGGGGTGTGGGGAGTGCTGCTCATGCCCACTTCATCATTTTCATTATTTGGAGATAATTATCCTTATTAGGTAAAAAAGCCAAGTGAGTCTTAAATTAACTCCAGGATGCAGGCTGTTCTGGTGGAGAGGAGAAATCTCTTTCCAAAATAACACAGCCAGCGACAGTGTGTAGGCGAGCACGCCAAGTGACGTATAGGCTGATGTGTTTTCTTTCTGGTACACTTTTGTCTTGCACTCCTTCTCTGTGTTCTGGTCAGCAAGAGCCCTCTGTCCCCCAGGTCGAGCTGAGAAGATCGCGCACAGCTCACTCGTTGGTGTGTGGGCTGCCAAATATCTATTCACATCTTCTGCAGAGCAGATAGCAGATTTTCTAGCTTGTGCCAATGGATATTAAACATAAGGCTTGTGGAGCAGACACCCAGGTCCGTCCTGATGGCTTCCATGTTGAGAGTTGGCTCTGAAGATTCTAGGAATCCCTTGGTTTCCTGGTAGGGCTGCCCTGTCACCTTGACAGACATCAAAACCTAGGGACGGGAAGTCCAAATACAGGCAGGAAGCTGCCCCCCGCCCCCTTTGCAAGCCTGTCTTGCTGTGTTCCGGCCTGGCTCTCTGCCCTCGCGGGGTGCAGTGGAGAGAGGTCAGCCTGCACTCCCAGCTCCTGGACTTCTCCTGTGCTGTGGGGCTGGAGGGCCACGGGCGCCTTCTCTGAGCCCATCTGGGGCCGTGAGCTTGACGTTCCCTGCTGAGCTGCGGCTCTCTCCACTTCCCGTGGCTCTCAAGCTGCCTTCAGGACTCGGCTCTGCAGGGACACCCTCGCTGGCCACCACCCATCTCACCTGCAGAGGGAAGATGAGTCGTCCACTGTCCCCACAGAGCCCTCAGGAGCCCAGGGTAGGTGATGAGAGCTGACCCTGAGGACAGTGATCGGTGTTTCTTTGCCCCCGTCCTGTCCTGACGGCCCTCTATTAAGCAAGGTCAGCAGGCTTGGATGTACTAGCCTCGGGGTTTTGACTGCTTCAAGGGCCCACAGAACCAGGTAGAGGAAGGGGGCCGCCAGGTGGGAAGGTGACCTGAGCCCGCGACCTGAGGGCAGAGGGAGCTCCCTGTCCCTGAGGGCCTCGGAGTCCTTCCCCGCAGCGTAGCGTGCAGGGGTGTGGCCTGCCAGAGAGAAGGTGCAGGCACAGGCAGGGGCTGTCTGGGGACAGCACACCAGACTGACCCCTTCTCCACCCAGGAAACACCAGCTCTGAGGAGGTGGCAGGAGAAGTGATGTCAGAGGCCTTGTCCTGGCGAAGTCAAAGCAAGTCATCTATGGCTTGGAGTTTGTGACTTCCGTGACCTGTGCTGCAGGTGGTTTGTGCCCTCTGGCTGCTTCTCAGGTGCGGTTCTAGCTGGACAGGCAGCTGCTGTTGACTGGCCTCTGCTCGGCACAGCCTGCGCCAAGCGGGCAGTGTCCTGCCTGATGCGTCAATTCCTGACACTGGCGCAGCACGGGGTGTCCTCGTATTATGGGCACTGCAGCTGGCGCCAAGCAGGGAGTGAGACGCTCGCACTCTCTGACAGCTACAGGAGAAGCTTTGGTCACCGTAGCCTTTCTTCTCGGGCAGTCGGTGGCGCAGTGGTGTTCTGTGGGCATGTGAGCTCATGCCTGGGGATGGAGGTGGGTCTTAGGGGCCCTGGTCAGCCTTCAGACCACTGCTGCCCCCCTGGCTCTCCGTCTGGCCAGACAGCTCTCTCCATATGCTCTGGCAGGTCTGTCCCTCTGAGACAGAGTTCAGCGCAGCCCAGAGCCGCTCCGTGTCCACAGCGTGACAGCCGGAGACCTCCTGCACCGGCAGGTGTGACGACACCCTCCAAGCACCTCTTGGATTTTTCAAGCAATATGTTAGCTTCATTCTAAATCACCTCATAAGGTGACTCTTGCCTTGCTGTGAGCGAAACTCAGGATGTTTTTCTAAGGTGACCAGACCCGAGCCAGGCGTTTGCAGGCACTGCCTGGCACATGAAGGTGCTGGGTTGCTGGCCTGTAAGGGAGACAGGCAGCAGCAGGATTGTCCTCTGTGGCTGGAGGCTTCCCGAGGCAAATGAGTGTCAGCATTTCTTCCTTAAAAGTGTCAGGGCGTCCTCTGTCTGGTCAGGTGCCGAGGCTGCCGTGTAGCTGAGCTGTAGCGAGGTCCTGCTGCCTCCAGACGCACGTCCTCTGGTCTGAGAAGGTGTCAGCTGCAGGAGGCCATGCTCCAGGTGTGCCCAGGGCGGCGCATACTGCCCTCTGTTCCCAGCACAGATGAGGAGGAGCAGCGACCCTACCCCAGGTGTGGACTGGCCACAGAACCAGGAGTGTGCTGGTGTGAGAGGACGCTGCTCTTGAAGGCCGTGGTGACAGTGTGCCTCAGAGTGCCGAGTCGGCATCTCGATTTGTTGGTTCCTGAAGAAGGCAAGGGTCTAGTCTAAGTGTGATGCCTGGGAGACCTGACCTTCAGGACTCATTTACAACCATATTTTTGATGGAATATAAAATTAAGTTTGTGGAAGAATTCAGCCACTAACCCCTCAGAGGGCAGTTGTATCTTTTAGAAAGCCCAGAAAAAAAAATAATGGGCCGCAGGATTCATTTTATCAAAGGAGGCTATTGTCAGCAAGAGGCCATGAATCACCTGTGTAGCTTGCACCCTGAAGGCCCAGGAGCCAGGAGCACCTGGGCCCGGGCCAGGGCCGTTGAAATTAAAGGTGGGAAGGTGTGAGCTTGGAGACCACCACTGGTGGGCCCCCTGGGCTGCACCTCGCAGCCATGGTGGACAGGAGGGGTGCACGGCAGAGGCCCTCCATTTGATACCCGCTGTTTTCTCACATAAGTAGCCAGGTGGTGGTAGTGTGCCTCTGAAGGTGCCCACAGGCAGGATCCAGAGTGGCCTCTGTGTGACATTTGGAGAATTCTTGGTGAGATTTCATTAGAACACTGAGTTCAGTTGATAGGAGGAGGAGGAGGAGGAGGAGGAGGAGGAAGAGGAGGAAGAGGAGGAAGAGGAGAATT